TGAGTGCCCACAAGCAGCAGAACTATGAAAAGGTTCCTGTGTTTTGAATTGCAAACTCAGGGTAAGTGGCAGACAAAATGCATAATTAGATTGAATCCCCCCCCCCTTGTACCAATAGAAACAAAACCTACTGTCTGACATGTGACTATGAAAGACAAGGGGAAAAGGAGGCACTTCTGACACAATCCCAAAGTTGTCAGCAACCAGGAAAATGTCAGCGTCCTCTGAGTAGGCAAATAAATCCATTCATTTAATACACTTTACAGCAGTTTTTATTGTTTACAAATAATTACAGCTCTCTTTCATGTTTCCACGGTCTGGGGCTAAGGAGAGAAGGGGATTGGACCTGTTAACCTTCATGTGCCTCTAAGAAGTAGTTTATGGCTGGCCAGGTGCAAATGCCATATCTAATCTCTCCCTGTGTCTGTGTCTAGCAGCTGCAGCAGTTGGAGGGAGTTAGGGAGTTATTAAATATCAAGGAAATGTTTGAGCCACTATTGTTCCACTTGAGGGTGGTAAGAGAAGTTTGTACATTGTTTTCCATTCGGGAAGAGCAGCAGTCCTAAGGGAAAAAGGCCTTTTTGCTGAGATCCTAGCAATGGGGATAAGGGCACAGTGACCTGCCCCAAGTCCAGGGGTGATGTGAGATCCTTTGTCAGTCTCTTTCCTTTTGGACCCTGTGACTTCTGCAGTTGCAAAAGCCTCGAGTGTACTTTCCTTCCTGCTACTAGTTCTCTGTGTATATGGACCAGACACCCAGGTACTCAGAGCCAAAGTCTCTTCACCCAAAAAACAAAAGCTTCCTTTAACCCTGCATGACACCAGGACATTTTATTTTTTTTAATATTTTATTTTATATAATTCTTACATCATTTTTCATCTTTGCACAATGTATGCATTTTCATTATGGTTCTATTCCCCATACAATTGAACCACCCCCCCTTATTTTGACTCTAGTCCTTCCTCTCCCTGCCCCTCCCTACTCCCCCCACCCCCGTAGTGTGTCTCTGGTTTATAGTTGCTTGTTGATTTTGATTTTTACTTTGTATTGATTAGTCTTTTTCCTGGTCCCTTATTTAGGTTTTCCAAATTCCTGCTATGAGTGAGACCATCCGGTATTTTTCTTTTTTCTTTCTGGCTTATTTTGCTGAGCATGATCCCTTCCAGCTCTATCCATGTTGCTGCAAACTGCATGTGTTTATCTTTTTTTGATTGCTGAGTAATATTCCATGGTGTATATGTACCACATCTTCTTCTTCTTTTTTTTTTTTTTTGTGGGACCCTCGCCGGCAGCTGGGGAACGAACCGGTGCTGCAGAGGCTGCCCACAGCCTCACAGCCCAGCGCTCAACCTCTGCACCACGAAGGGAGGCCCTGTACCACATCTTCTTGATCCAGTCATCTATTTTTGGGCATTTGTGTTGTTTCCATAGCTTAGCTGTTGTACATAGTGCTGCTATAAACATAGGGGTGCAGGTGCCCTTTGGAATTAATGAAACCAGGACATTTTAAAAGTGGACAATGAAATTTCAGGTCAAATAAAGTGAAATCCTGGAGAGAGAGATGGAAGATTGAAGGGTGGTTGGGTGGAGTTACAGAGGAGAAATGGATGGGATCAAATGCAAGGCTTTCGTGAGTTAATTAGACAAAGTAGTAGATGGCAATTGACATTGGCTGTGAGAACATGAGGATGAGTGATGGAGGCTCAGAAATTACTGGAAGCCTAAACTGGAACAAGGACATCTGAGCCTCAGAATCCTTATCTGAATCATGAGAAGTGGATCGCTGCCAGATCCCTTTTCGTGTTATGTATTTATATTGAATGCTGCCACCGGTGCAGAACAGGGATAGACACGTAAAAAGGAAGTAGGACAAAATCTGTGTAATCAACTAATGAAGAAAGGACAGTCCCAGGTAACAGCTACCTGTGGACGGTACAGCTTGGAAAAGTCCAGTCAAGCAGGAGGATGGTTTGTTGTGATACACTGTAGTGATGTTTTTGGCTATGCTCTATTCAGTGTTCTTCCCCTCCCTGCCAACCTGCCCAGTCATTGAGAGGAGGCCTGTAGCATCCAGAGCAGGTAGCCACTGTACTTGCTAAATGTGACAGAATGCTGATGACAGAAGCTTCACCAGAGAAGGGTTATTTGTGTCACATGACAAGGACCCTGGTGGTGTGCAGTTGTGGGTGGGACATCATGCCTCAGGCTACTTTTTTTCCTGTCAAAATGTGGCTTTCACTCTCGGGCTTTTACACTCACCTATTCTGATGGATTTGGCTTTTTTTTTTTTTAAATTTTTTACATATTGTTCATTTTTAAACAATATTTGCTTCCCCCCACCTCAGATGTAGTCCCCATAGAATTCCCTTCACCAACACACCCATGCACCATCACCTCAGTCCCCTGGGCTTCTCCCTCCCTCCCTCTGATCCCTCTCCCGCCTCCTCCCCTGCAGGATGTCTCTGGTTTATTATGTCTGTTTTTGTTTTGTGGTGTTTTGTAATTTTTTTACACTGATGTCTTATTTGGTTCCCCTATATTCCTCCTATAAATGAAACCTTCCGATATTTTTCTTTTTTCTTCTGACTTATTTCACTGAGCATAATTCCTTCTAGCTCCATCCAAGTTGCTGCGAATGGTGTGAGTTTATCTTTTTTGATTGCTGAATAGTATTCCATTGTGTGTATATACCATATCTTCCTGATCCAGTCATCTATTTTTGGGCATTTGGGTTGTTTCCAGGTTTTACCATATTGTAAATAGTGCTGCAATATACATAGGGGTGCAGGTGTTCTTTTGAATCAGTGTTTTTGTGTCCTTTGGGTAGATCCCCAGGAGTGGAATTGCAGGGTCATATGGCAGCTCCATTTTTAGTAGACTGAGGAATCTCCAGACAGCTTTCCACAGTGGTTGGACCAGTTTGCACTCCCACCAGCAATGCAGGAGAGTTCCTTTTTCTCCACATCTTCGCCAACATTTGTTGTTATTTTTTTTTTTTTTGATATGTGCCATTCTTACTGGTCTGGCTTCTTTGGTGCACTTACCTGGAAACCCACCTGCTGCTTTTACTTCATTGGCCAGTATTGGGTCATATGATCATCCCTGGCAGTAGGTGATGTGGGAGACAGAGTACTTTAATTGGGGCCATTGCTACAATTGAACCTAGTCATGCATTTGTTGGTAGGGAAAAAGGTGACAATGGCTACTGGTAATAGGGTAATAGGTGTGGCTGTCATAAGACTCTCATGAGATTCAAAGATCACACAGACCGGGGAGATAATAAATACAATGGATGATAGAGTCAGAGTGCAGAAGGATCTCAACAGACTAGAACCATAAAATGGAGAGAACACATAGAATTCAACAGGGTTAAAGTCATATCTAAGAATCTCAAAAGTCAGTGCTACACAAAGAAAAGGGGGAAATACTTCTTACCAAACACCTTCTAAAAAGAGCTATTTTAACTTCATTCGAGAGTAGTCATCATCATAATATCTGACATTTCTTAAATGTTGACTCTGCTCATTTAATCCTCATAGTAATTATCTAAGTTAGACCAATTATTAGAATCCCTGCTTTATTTTTTCTTTGAAAACCGAGAAATACAAAGAACTTGACCAAAGTCCTATGGCTGGTAACTGGGTAGGCTAGAATTTGAATCAAACACCAGAGCTTTTATTACTGACCTCTGTATCACACTATTTCCCTAGAAAACATGATTTTGTTTAAAAAATTAATCCTGTCTGGGACCGCATTGATAGTGTCACAATATCTATGTGTAGGGAGGTAGGAGTCTTTGTCTTTCCAGACCATAACATACTTGCAGCATTGTTCTTAATTCTAGAACATTTAGACAGCGCCTTCCTCACCCATACCACCTTTCATAGGCTAAGGAGGCTCCAGGCTGACTCCCCCTTGTTTTTGACCCCATCCGTGTCTCCTCAGATCTCTCACCAGTTGACTCTTTTATCTCCAACTTCTCACTTTTCCACAAATTCTTTTGCCTTAGCCAATTAACTTAAAAAGTTTCACTCCTAAATAGATAACCCCCAGATCTTATTAGAAATACTTTTAAAACTACTACTTCTAGTGAGTCCTTGTTAAACATACTTCTTAAAAGAATATTCAACATATGCTGTCTATTCCTCCTTACCTCCGACTCACATCTTCCTCAATTTCCAGCTGTTTTGGAAACCCCCAGCAATAGTAAAATACAAGTCCCCCGCTCAGAGGCAGCCCTCTAGATAAGTCAAAGATGTTGACAAACTGGACGTTGACTGCTTGTATGTTAAAGGCTGCTCATTTATCTGATGTGTATCCAGAAAGTATTCCAAAATCTGTTAAGAAGTCTAATTTTGACAGATGTATTCTCCTACTAAATCAATATGACTTCCAGTTTACTATGAGTTTCTGAACTTAAACTCTGCATAATCTTATTGACTCCCTATTGGTTTTCTCCTTATATTATTTTACTCATAAGAAGGCTGCCTTTGATATGTAGGAAATAATTTTGGGGGCTATAACATTATTTAACTTACTGTGGAAACACTGTTCTGCTGAGTGTTGAAATGGCCATTCCATTTTGAATTATTAGTGAAATAAGTACTCGTGCCATGAGGAATCTGAGAAAAGGATATTTGTTATCTCTGTTGACCCTGGATTGTCATTTCCAGCACATTCTCTTAGCATAGAAAGGGCCCGAATCACTTTGGGAAAACACTTTGGAAGTAAATAATTTCACAAAGGCATGAAAAACCCTAAGTTTCCATTGCAACTATAATATAATTATATCTAGAGTATATGAGGAACTAAGTGGTCCTGGAAAGTTCTAATTCTTGCCAATTTTAACTCTTAGACCACTCGGTATCCAGTGCATTGTAGCAAGCAATATTCTTCAAGCTAAAATCCTAAAGGTAGAAGTGAAATAACTAAATTCCCTCTTAAGATCCAAAGAATATATATATATTTTTAACCAGATCCTTATTTGGCTTTTTTTCAGCCTTTCATTCTTGTCCACTTTCAAGGCATGATTAGAACAAGAAATTGCCAATGATGAGATGGAATGAGAGCCCAGGGTCTGGAACCGTGAGGGTAGAAGGTAAGCAGTTCTATACCATTAGGTCATTTTGGAATACTGGAATTACGCAAAAATTGAAAGAATACTTTATATAGCTATGCTTATATAGCCTTTCCCCCTTTTCATAGTCCATTCACACGCATGATGCATTTGTGTGCATCACTCACAAAACGTTTTCATTCTCAGCTTGAAATTACAATAGGCCTGAGGTAGAGAAGGTAAGCGGTTTGCCTGATGCCTTCTATCGTCTAGCTCAAAGAACCTCTCCCCATGCCACAAACCTGCACTTATTTGCTTTTATCTCTGATCTCTATTAGCTTCCATTCCTGAAATGAAGGGAGGGAAGGCAGAGGAAAGAGGAAGGAGAGGAAAAGAAAGGATTCTGGCCATTCAGTCTTATTTTTACAACGGAGTAAGAATTTAGTGATACTTGGACATCATTTTGCAAGCACATCCAAAGTTAGAAAGAGCCCTATGTTAATAAACAAAGAAGACACTTACACCACTACCTATTTTTTCCAAACAGACTGCATGTAATGATCAACTTTTAAAAGCTAATAAACTTTACTGTATGTAATGCAGGGAAAAAACAAGCTTCCTACTAGTTTTTAACCTACATTTAGCGCCTATGTTTTATATATTATATTTCACCAAATAAATGCTCTTCCGAAGAGTAATAGCTTAGCGTTAAGCAGAACTAGCAAAAAAGAATAGCCTTTAAGTGTTCCACAGTTTAGGGAAATATTCTACTTAACGTGTTTTCATGGAGGGATCAAGTAGCATGCAATTATTTTGTAATTACCTTTCAGCCCCTTGCTATATAATTATTCATTTGGTTATATGTGCTTTACAAATTAGCACCCCCAAAGATCTAAAAAAAAAATTACACAGAACATGGTGATTATCCTTAGAGCTACATGGTTTCTCAAAGGGTAATTGCCATTTAATTTGCTAGGTCTGAATCCATATCATGACCTGTGGTAATCATGTACTTACAGAATAACTTGCAAGGCTGCTGGGACCTCAAAATACTGTGCATGGTACAAGTATGGGGAAGTGCTTAGGGACAGGTGCAAACCCCAGTGGTGAATGTTTGTCCATGATTCTGGCTATTCAGGGCTCACAAGCAATACTGTTGAATGCACACACGTGTGTGTGTGTGTGTGTGTGTTTGAGAGCAGGTGCATGAGTAAACACATACCTGCTGGTTCCTTAGTGCTTGCAAAGGCTGGCCAATTTCAGAGTGAGGAATTCTTTTATCCAGTCAGTCCGTGGTTGGTCCTGCTTAAAAAGACATACACATTTGTTAGATTTAATAGCTAGACAAGGGAAGAGAAAGGTCACACTTGCATTGTGAAATCAAAAGCAATAAAAGGAAAGATATCAGTCATTAAATATAAGGCTTTAAGCACACAGTTTGGAAAGAAAAGTACAGCAGACTATCTGAGGTCTTGATTGTAGAGACATCATAAAATGACAGGGCTCTAGGAGGTGGCCAAGTAACCCCCCACTCCAGCCCAAAGCATGGTGTGCTGAATGAAGCTGGCGCCTACTGACTTGTCTAAACTGATTAAACATTCAGGAATTTTGCATATAGATTATTCAACCATTGGGTTCTTGAAATCAGCCATGGTGGGAGTGTTTATACCCTGGACATTGAGAAATGCTACAAGCCAGGGTCTCCCCACCCCAGAGAGACAACTTATCATACTAATGACTTCAAATAGCATTAAAGGAACACTTTAGTGAACAGCCCATTTTTCGAATAATTTTTATTGGAGAGGGTCTCCTACTCACCAACTCTTACTCCACTTCAACCTTCCTCATGAGTGATTCCCACGACTGGTTTCTTGTTTTCCCTTCTTTCTTTAGGCTTTTCCAACTCACTCAGAGACTCTTTAAAGTGAGCACTCGTGCAGGAGGCCATATTTGAATATTGATAGTGAAGACCACTATTTGAGTTTGCATTCAGATCAGACAACTTGAGTGTGACTCCGCAAGCTTGTGTGTACCAGATGTGTGATTTGAGAACCACTCACCTCTTCAGGCTTTGGTTTTCACCATTTGTGAAAGGGGTGGAGGCATTTCCACTTAATAGAATTGTGGGATAATGCTGTCTTCTTGACATGGTTACTGTAGGGAGTAAATGAGTTATCTGTAAAGCATTTGGGACTCTGGTCATAGAAAGCAAGTCCTGTGCATGCATTTGTGTTTATGGTTCAGAAGATGATCATGTGTACCTGGTAAACTCAATAAAATGATAACTTCCTATTCTTTCCCTTTGGTAGTTCTGTTATTACACTGAATTGTTTTTAGGTTAAAATACCTTTGTCAGGCCTCCCTGGTGGCGCAGGCTGTTGAGCGCAATGCTGTGAAGCTGTCTGCAGCCTCTGCAGCGTGGGCTCAATCCCAGCTGGCCAGAGAGCAACCCACATGGCACGGCAGACCTTTCCTGTATTGCCTGCTGCTCCCCTCAGCAGTGTATTTCTGTCAGTCTGCCTGTTCTGTTCCCCACTCTATCTCTAGTGAGTCCTCTCACCCTCCTGCACATCTGGCCTGTACCCTGGTTCTTGTATGCATGAATAAATAAATATTTAAAAAAATAAAATACCTTTGTTGTCAGGGACTGGAAGGCTGATGTATGCTGGGCATCTGTGAACTTAATCCTCTGGGGCTTCCATACAAGGCCTCTCTCTCCAAAGCTTAATCTCATAATCAAATTCGTAGTTCTGAGATCTACAGTATGTGCAATTGATCAGTTGTCTCCTACAAGTGAAAACACACTCATGAACAAGGCTATGTGACTGCAGGAGCAAGATTTTGTAGGTTTTGCATTATGATCCCTAATACATTGTATGGTTTTAACATGGCTTCTGCAGTATATCTGAAATCATGCTGAAACCATGTCCATCAATAATCTCTCTGTGAATAGCAGTGGTTTCTTACATAATAGGATTTATGCAGAAGTAACACTGACACTTCAGATCTCTGTTATATATAGAAGTCAGGAATCACAGAGGAACTCTTTATTCTTCCAAGGGGGTTGTATCTGGTTTTCTGGGGGGTTGTTTTTTGCTTGTAATCTCTTAAAAAATCTTCACTAATTTCTGTGCAACTAATAATCATCTACCATGATTAGAAAAAAGAGGAAGAGGGGAAAGAAATAATCATGGTTAACTGCCACTGGGAGCATGTGTGAAGAATTCAAGCTAAGTGGTATATATGCACTGTTTCATGAATATACATGACAGCCGCTGAGGCACACAGTATCACTAACCTGCTTTATGGAAGAGGCAGTTGAGTCCCAGATGAGGGAATGAACTTGCCCAAGGTGATACCAATCACCAGCCTTAAGGATACAAGAGAGACTGTCTAAACTGAGAGCTTTATGCTCAACCGTTGTGCTTTATATTCTTAAGCATCTTAAATTCTGGGGTTGAAATAAAGAAACACCTGATTACAAAGTAGACATCATTAAATATACCACAATGTGTAAACTGGCACTCCAGAAAAAACCCAACCACCCTGGTTTTTAGTGCTTGCCCATTTCCATGGTGTAAATATTCCCAGTATGGTTGATTGATTTCAAACTGTCAATGATTTAATGCCCAGTTTTTACAATTTCTGCACATCACAGACTAAATATGTAGTAGGTAGGGTCTGATGTAGGTTTAGGAGAAAGACTCACATCTGTGTGAGCTTCCTTTTTCTCCCTTACCTGTAAAACAAAAAAGTTAAAAGAATCAATTGCTTTTCTTTATTTTTTTTTAAAATCCTCAGGAAGGGTTTGACTAGTGTGACTTAATAGTGTAGAAAGTACAGTATGTTGTTTTTAAGGTAAAAATGGAGACTCTGTTTGTCACTAATAACATCACTTTTTTTTTTTTTAAAGATTTATTTATTTATACAAGCACTGGGTACAGTCAGAAGCACGGGAGGGTGAGAGAATTCACCAGAGCCAGAGCGGGGAGCAGAGCAGGCAGAAGAACCAAAGTACACTGCTGAGGGGAGCAGCGGGCGGCAGGAGAGGTCTGCGCACCATGTGGGACCCTCCACCTGTGGCCAGGGAGCAGCCGGGGATCGAACCGGCGCTGCAGAGGCTGCGGGCAGCTTTGCAACCCAGTGCTCAACCGCTGCGCCACCAGGGAGCCCCGACTAATAACATCACTTTTGATAATAAAAATTTAGTGTTAAGTTTAATGAAATTCAATAAATATAGTCATCTGTTCCCCTTTCCATTCCTTTATCTTGTCTAGGTGCTATGTGGACTTGTTTTCTTATTGGGTAATAGATGGAAGAGTGACTTTGATTGTTTCTTTGTAATTTAACCTGTATTTTGATTTTCTAAGGCAAATGTTCTTAAGCTATGATATTTAATAGAATTCATTTCTTTTGCAATCTAATTTATTGTATTGCATATGCATATAGAAATATTATTGAGAAATGACCATAAACTTCACAATACTGCCATTGAGTATGTGAGGGGAAAAGGATTTACACATACCAAAATGAATATTTCCAGAAGACTTTAGAAAATCTTTTTTTTTAAATATATCTGTGCTAGAGAGAGCTGATTTCCAGCAAAGTCTATGGAGAGCCATCACTCTTGTGGGATTCACTCTAAAAAATATGTACCTTATTTTTCTGAATAAATATCTAGAATTAATGACAATTGATTAACCATTAAATATACAAAAAGTTCGATTGACTTTCTTAAAATATGTCATTCATTTTTACACACACATACACACACACACACCCCTTTTTAAAAATGCTCTGCTTCATAAGCTTTAAGTCAATATTTATAATTGAGAATTAGTAGTTCTTGGGGAACATGTTATTTCAGAATAGTTTAGAAATTTAGAAATTGAGCGATCTCTGAGATTTCCTCTCTAGGAAGACATTCTTTAGTGTTCCCTCATTCCTCTGAAAATACTGAAGATTGACCCCTGGTCAAGAAGAATGAAGGCAGGTACCTATCAAGATGAGTGTCTCCTGCCCTGGCCATCCAAGAACTTTCA